CGTCCAGGACCCTCTGCTTACACGGAGGACGACTGTGTTTTCTTACTCTCCTGATGGCTGGTGGGGACTTTTACCGGCCACTCCCCCACCATCTGATGGCTCCGGGGTAGGGGTGGGGGTGGGGGGGCGGGGAAGCTTCTAAAAGCACAGCCCCTTCCTCCTGGCAGACAGCAGGGCGGGTGAGGGGCTGAGGGGAGCCCTCGGGCGCTCTGGGGGTTCCTGAGCATGATCTGCGGCTCTGGGTCTGTCTGGCAGTGGTCAGGGCGCTCCTGGCACGCGGCCAGTCTCAGTTCACACGTATGGCTGGGCGGGGGGTGTGGACAAGACAGGGTGGTGCTGGAGAAAACCCGTGGGCACCACTGACCCCCGGGGTGGCCGGAAAATAAGACAGAGTGCAGGGCCCCCCAGCTCAAGGGCTGGGCACCCCTGCTTTCGCCCTGATCCCTCCAACACCCACTCTTCCTTCCCTCCCCAGGCCCCAGGGACAGACGGACAGGGGCTCACAGAGGTGCCGGCCCCACGGTGCACGGACTCAGGTTCACCAACAAGCAGGGAAGGCGCACGGTGCGGGCCCAGCTGGGCCCAGAACGGGTGCGTGGGTCCCGGTAGGGGAGGGGGGCCCAAGGGCGACACTAAGAGCTTCCTGGGCATCGTCCCATTGAATCCTCACCACCGCCTGAGCCTGAATTTATCAACCCCATTTCCCAAAGGAGAAAACCAAGGCTCGGCAAGCCCAAGACTCCGTGCAGGTCTGTGGGCATCTGGAGCCTGTGCCTTGCTACCCTGGAGGGTGAAAGACGGGTTTTAAGTGAGCACAAGGGCAATGCCAGACACAGGGCGGTCTTGTTTGACATGTGGACGCGTTTGGGAAACTTCCCTTGCTGTCCGATGTGTCCAGGGTGCTCTCTGCCGCCTGCGGTCACACCGTAAACGTCATGCCTGGGCTGGCTCAGTCCTCTGACTCATGTGACAAAAGCGCTTGAGAGTTTACCGGGCACTTCTTCACGCATTCACTGATTTTTAACCTCCAGGATGACAGGGCCGGCAAGAGGCACGGACCCGCCCTTGCAGGGCTGCCTCCCCCTGCGTGGATCCTACCGAACCTCAGTGCTGAGGCAGAGGACGACACATGGAGCATGTCCTCCCCGTACGGCCACCACCACTGCCCATCTGTCCCCACCAGTCCTGCTGCAGTATGGCCCCAGGGACCCTGCCACGGCTGTTGCGGGCCACGGGGCACCGGGGAGCCTGGCAGTGCAGGACGACAGCAAAGCAAAGGTTTCCCACCATCCGGGCCCCTTGATGCACCTGCCCCCCGGGTGCCTCCCCCTCCCTGGGACACGCCGATGGGGCTGACGGTCTCCCTCATTTTAGAAGTGAGGGCACTATGGCTCAGGGGCGGGGGACAGGACATGCCTTGAGGACAGAGCCAGGATGCAGGACCGGGTCTCTCTGACTCTGAATGCTGCCTCTTCCCTCAGTACAGCTGCACGAGGCCAGGGGTGGGCTGGGAGAGGCCCGGGAAGCCGCAGAAGGGGCCAACCACAGCTTTGCCCTCAGCCGCCCTGCACAGACACACGCGCACGCACACACGCACACCCATTCCTTACCGTCATTGTTGGTGTCCATCTGCCGGAAGATCTTGTCCGTTCGTTTCTCCGGGGTGGACTCGTCCTCGGGCATTTTCATCACAGAGGACACCATCTTGTATATAGCCTACAAAGAGACACGCGGAAGATGTGCTCGGAGATTCTGGAATGTTTCCGGGCACATGGGG